AGGAGGAGTCAAATTTTTGTGCAATTAAATAAAATAAAAAGGTGCGTGCTGTCCCAAAAGTACATACGGCTACGGTTCGGGATGGAATGAGGTTTTTCTCCTCCCTTTAATCTCTTTTATCCGACTCTCGGAGGTTTTTCTGGTGAAAAAATTTTTAAATGCATGCACACACCCCTATCTGCCTCTCGCTCTTACTTCTCGTCCTGCGCGCTCTCGTGATTATTAATAATTATTATTACTATTATTGGGTTACTTACGCGAGAATTCCCGTTTGCTTAAGTGCTGGGGTTTGCCTTGCTTGCGGCGAGACATGGTGGGCTGCGGGGCGGGCGGACGGCGGCGGCGGCGGCGGCGGCGGGCGGACGACGGGCTCGGTTCACATCGGGAGAGCCGGGTTAGAAAGGAGACTCCAGAGAAAATATCTTCATCAGTGCCTTTTGACATCCAAAATAAATTAGAAATAATACAAAGATGGCGCAGGGAAGATGAATTGTGGGAGAGCCGTCATGGCTTTTTTTTTTTTTAAGCAAAAAAAAAAAAAGAGAGAGAGAGAGAGAGGGAGAGATAGAGGGAGAGAGAGGGAGAGAGAGAGATGAAAAAAATGGCAAAAGCCCCCCTGAGCTGCAAGTTCAAGTGCGGACGTGACGTCCCTGCGAAACTTGGAACGTCAGGAGGTCTGGATGGACAGAGACACACAAAACATGGGCAGGTTGAGCAGGAGAGAAGGGGAGGAGGGAAGGGGAAGCTCACACCAATGGACACACATCAGGGGCTGGACATGAAAAAGAGACCAGGACAAGCCAATGGCCAGTGCGGGGCGGGGGAGGTGCGGGGCGGGGGGCTCTGCAGACGCCAGACGCGGCCCCCGGGGGAGGAGCAGGCGGAGGGGAGGGGGCGCTGGGGCCGCGGGCTCACCAGTGGCCGCAACGAGCGCCGAAACAGCGGCGCGGCTGGGGGAGAAGAAAGGGGCGGAGGGGATAGGGGTTGGGGGGGAGCAAGACGTGCTCCTTCCCCCACGCCGCACGTGCACCCCAAAATGAAAGATTTCTTTTCCGCTGGAGTGTACGGGGAGGCTGCTGCCCGGGGCCGGAGACGCGCGGGCGGAGGGAAGCCAGGTAGAGTTGCTCCCGGACACCCTCCTCCGTGCGCACACCCACTTCCCCTCTCCGCCGCCGCCGCGCCTGCTCCCCGTGTGCGGCCGCCGGCGGCTGAAGTGAAAGCCCTGAGCCCGCAGCTGCGCTCGGGAAACTTTGCCCAAGGAGAGGATAGCTAGCAAAGAGAAATCACTCCAAGTTGAGAGCTAAGCCTCCAAGTTACAGCCACGCAGCGGGCGAGGGGAGGCAGAATGGAGCGCGTGGCGTAGCGGAGTCTAGCCCAAGTTTGGAGGGTGGCAGGTCCGGAAGGGCAGCGCTGGGGCCTCCTGGCTGCTGGGAGAGAGGGGGCTGGGGCGTGGGAGGTGGTGCAGGCCCGAGTCGGAGAGGCGGGAGGGCGCCCTCAAGGTCGAGCCGGGGGTCCGGGGTACTGAGCGCTCTGACAAACGATTGGGTCTGAATGCAAACTAGAAAGCACGGAGTAGAGACGCTCTAGGGGTCGCTGAAAGAGAGAGAAGGCCGAGAAATAAGAATCGTGTACAGTCATCTCGGGGCACGTTTCCG